AAATACCTTTCTTGACCAAATAGATTTTACAACTCCTTCTTTGTACTCAGTGCCATCGTTTTTTCGCATGCTAAATGCGTAAACTTTGAAAATTTCAGCAAATTCTTCAAGGTAACTTCCCATATCATACTACGTTAGATAAAATCTCATTTTGCTTAAAACACTAGTAAGATTCGAAAAATTTTGTAGGGTTCTTTTCATTGGAATGTAAAAACCGTTTCTGTTTTTTAAAGTTAAAGTTGTTTCTCCTTGTATCCTATACTATACTATACCTATACTATACTATACCTATCCTATACTCAACAGGTTTTATTAGATAACCAAATTTGTTGAAAAATAACGGTCGTTTATATTCAGTATCCACCGTATTAAAAAGGTTTTGAAAAATATTAAGCATATTATTTAAATTAGAACATACNTTTCTAGCTGATTCTGCTAGTTTTAAATGAATATCATGTTCCTCCTTATTTTTTTTCTCTTCTTCATGGTTTTCTGATGCTTTAACTTTAATGTTTAATAGATCATATTTTTGGCATGTGTCTTTGCGTGGTTGGTGGAATTGTAGATTAAAATTTTTGTTGAATATTTTTCTATAAGTCCATACAGTGGAACTCATACAAATCAAACATTTTTTATAGTCAATTCAGGATGTAGATATTTTCTATTGGGTTTATGATCCCTCGTATAATGGGATTCAAATTTCGGGAAACTGTTTATATGGTTTTGAACAACCATATTTGCTTCATCGCATATTTTTCTTGATGATCCAGGCAAACGCCCACATAAATTGTTGTCTACATTTTTAGATTTTAACATATGTTTCAATCGTCCTTCGCTTATTTGAAAAGTGTGTTAAAAGAATTTTTTAACTTGTTTCAACAGGTTAAGAAAACATTTAAAAACGGTTCTCAAATCGCATTTGTCAAGTGTATTGGTGGAAGTTTATTTGCCAATACTGCATTTATTTTTAATTTTTTAAATTTCTAGATCTTTAGTAACTTTGAAAGTTATAAAAGAATCTGCGAATTGAAAAAAAATAATTTTTGTAAGTTGCTGTGCGATACAACGTATAACATAATCGCGTAATCGACTATCAGTCGCTTCGCGATCGACTTGTTGGCCACCCCTGCCCTAGAGCACTTATGAAAGTCCATTCTAGCTGTCTGGCTGATTTAAAAAAGTTGAAACTACCTCTTCCAGAGAATGTGATGGTTTTTGCCAATTCTGGAGGTCTGCATAGGTGGAGCTCTTCTTTGCATTTGATGCTCGTTGCGTTAAGTTGTAAATAGTGTTGTGATGCTTCACACTTAGTTGTAAATAGGGTTGGATGGAATTTCCCGACGCGTGACCTGTAATTTTAAAGATTTCTTGAATACTTTTGCCCGCTTGTGATAAATGATTGCGATTATTCTTTTAGAGTGGTTAGATATTTTTATTTTCTTCGCATCATAACTCTATTATTTTTGCGCCTAATTTCATCCACTTATTGATTTCGTTTATTCCAAGTGGCATATCCTTATACCAGCAGGTGTGTGGGTACTTTTGCCAGTTTAGTTTGTATATTTTGAGTTCGTTTTGACTTTATCTTTTTCCATAATCAAACAGGACAATGATCGGGTCTATGCGTATTTACGGTCAAGCTTATTTTACTTCCATCGTTAGTTTAGTTAAGGTCGTTCCTTACGTCCGTCGTTTTGGAAAAATGGGATACATAATACACTCCGTTTTTGCTCCAGAATTATCTATGTCCTCTTCAAGATGGTCCACAGGATGGAACAGCTTGAAGAATTTTTCGTTCTGCATTTTTTGCAAGCACTATATCACGAAAAACAATATCCTTGATATCCTTCGGTTCGGTTAAATGCTTTAAAATACCTTTCTTGACCAAATAGATTTTACAACTCCTTCTTTGTACTCAGNGCTTAGTTTCAAAAATTTGTTTTTCAACTAAATATTTTTCACTTTCCATATTTAAAGTCAACCACTTTATATTTAAAACTTTATAACTTCGGTAACTGCTAAAAACAGTAAAACGTACTAATAAACACACTGCACGTAAGTGATGTCCCTCATAAACATCCCAAAAGAGGTTATGTGTAGTTCCGATCGGATCGGCGCATTGTGCAAATGTACATATCGGGACGTGTTCAAACTGATATGGTCAGATCCCGATTGTATCATTTTTTCGTCATGTGACCTAACAGCTTTAGACATATGCCGATATGTCTAAATAAATCGGCCACGGACCGAATTCGTCATCTGCCTCCAATATATCTAATTCAGGTTCAGCCTCAGTCAATTTCAATACCTGATTATTAAATGATCCTGGCACGTCTATCATATCCAAGTCATCTTTTTTATCATTTGGCAACGAATCTGGTTTTTCAAAATAACTCCATATTTTGTACAAGGTCAAAAATTCTTCGGTAAAGCCTTCCTTTAATCAAAAGATCGTCGAAAGATTTAATTCTTTTTAATAAATCTTCTCCAGTCAAACTGACATATGTTCTATGGTCCATGCACGGGGGTGGCATTTTTATCTAAAAAAATGTGATAAGCTGGTATTAACTTATAGGTAAATGAGAAAGTTTTTAAAATATTACGTCAGGACGCTCATTTTTGTTTCCCAAACATTTCGTGTAATCAATAGCATCTGGGTTGAAAGGGAATAAACCACACGCACGAAATCCATTAATTAAAGTGTCCCTCTTAATATTGTTGGCCAGTACTTTTCCAATAGAGGAGCAAACGTCATTTTATTCAGAACTTCTCCAGGATTTTGTTCATAAAATTCCCTGACGGCCTTTTTCCATCCCATTTTTATGGGCCTAAATACTGCAACATCACATGGTTGAAGAATTCGGGTTGCATTAGAATATAGGGCGATAACTTCTATGTTTAATTCATTACAAAGTAAACTTAACTCATAAGTTAAATGGGACTTATGGCCATCTAAAAATAATAATACAGGAAACTGTATATTATTTTTCACCAACAATCGATGGAACACATTTTTCACATAATCATAGAACGTCTCTGCCGTCATCCACCCATTATCGGATCGTCCAATGCCCCAATCAGGATCTTTGACCGTCTGGCTTATTTTTTCTGGAATTCGCTTATAAGGATAAATTATCAGTGGTGGACAAGTTAATCCAGAAGCAGAAAATGAAAACATGACAGTGATGCTTTCCTTAGGTGATCCCTTTTCGACAGAATAAACATTCTTCGCGCCTTTTCCAGCAAAAATCTTTCCAGTTTCTGGGCAAATCTGAAATCCGGATTCATCGCCATTGTAAATACTTGAAGGGTCATCAACGATTAAATTTTTGGAAGTAAGATAACTGTTTATATCTTTGAACCATTTTCGAATGTCTGCTTCCGAAACACAAGCACTGGCACCACTTACTGCTTCACTTGTTCGCTGCACAATTGTTGGATGTCTTTTCAAGAAAGCCTTAAATAAAAAGTGCTATTTTAGTAATCTCTATTTTCCAAATATCCTATTTTACTTAATTACCTTAAACCAACTATCAGCAGGTCTGTTGTTTTTAAAGGGATTAGGCCGTGGATTTTCAGTCAAAAATTTTTGAACGCTATTTAAAATGTCCTCTCGTTTTCTGGGAAACCCTTTGGTTGCCAGCTCTTCTATCCACCTGCAAAAATAAAAACAGTTATTTAGATAACTGTTTTTATCAGCTTAACATCTTACCTAACTGAACCAACTTTACCTTACAAGATCAGACTCTTCTCTTGTTGAAAGAATTGGATTTGGGCCGCATGTGTCTTTATGGCCTGGATTTTTTATTTTAAATTCCAGCGTTGATTTGGGTACACCGTATTTGTGTGCCGCATTTCTATATGACATGTTGTTATTCTTGACTTCATTTATCGCTGCTTCCATCGATTCTGCCCTATATTTATTTTTCTTGGGCATGCTTGAAAATTAGACACATAAAAAAACTCAGTTATAGGACAGATTGTAAACCAGTTGTTGGACAGGCGTCCAATAACTGGTTACACTGTGAATATTGACACCAAAATCGAAATGCTGGAAACAGAGAAGACGCACTCCGATATCACGCAAAAAGTGTACAAACTTGGCAAAATGCAGTTATTGGACAGGTGTCCGACAAATGAAAATAATCATATTTTAAAGTCAGTTATTGGACACCTCTCTAAAACATAACCTAACACAAATATATTGATTTAAACCTTAAAAATACTTCACTTTACTGCATTAGTACCTTGTAAATTTATACGGAGCACTTGGGTAAAATTCCACCACTAATTATAACACTAAACTTCACCTAAGATTTCTTAAGATAGGCTCAAGAAAACCGGCTTTTTTGTGCATGATTAAAGAATCTCACAATTGGCGCCAAAACAGAAACGTTAATAAAATGTTATTTGTCACTATCGATACTAATAGTACAATGGGACCATCTCAACAAAACTAAGCAAACTACTGAATACAGAATTCTTATTTTCAGTTGAAATAATTGGGATGTCCAATAGCTCGCAGGTGTCCAACAACTGGTAGGTTTACCCTATATAGTCTTGTATCTGTTACATACAAAATATTTTGTAGATGCAAGTTGTTAAAGTTGTTAAAGAATTAAAATGGTTCAACATTCTGGTATCATGATCCCCTTCATCCACTACATATAATTTGATAATATGTTTGTACGATGCCATGTACTTCACACCACCACTTTCAAACATGACATCGTACTTCATCAAATTATTCCTCAGTCCCTTCAAGAGATGAGGGGGATCGTACAAGATGACTATGTCCTGATCATCAACCATACAATCAGAACCTGCATATTCCTTCCCTAGCCGTAAAAACGTGGCACGTGTTTCTTCGGCCAACATTTTTAGAGCCATGCTGTTTGTCGAGAGCTGATCACAAATAGTGGCTATGATCTTCAGACCTATACTATTGCATATTGCAATAATCTGTCCTATGTTGTCTCGTAGGGCAGTGGCTGACATGCCATATTCGGTGAAATAAAATGCGATGGACTGTTTGCATTTCTTCGTAATGCCTCTCACCATGAATACCATGGCATGGTCCGCAAATTGAGGAGATCGTCCCCGGCCGCAATCCACCCAACAAAATATTTGCAAAATATATTTGCCTCAATCATGTCCAACGTGGAATCGTATGTCAAGCCAGGTTGTAACGACATTTCATCAAAGATAAGACAACAATATCTATTTTCTTGTTTCATCTTCTTCGCCTCTTCTTGTAAAGCATCCATTAATTGTAGATTTATTCCTATTCCAATTGGAACCTGACTCAACAAATTCATGAGCGTCCTCCTACTCGGCAAAGCAAACAACGTTCGCAGTAAGCGGTATGCTCTTGAGCTGCTTTTGAATATTGTTAATCCGAATATCTTGTTTTGCAACGTATAGCGTCGCCCTTGCTTCTTTTTCGGTTGCTCTCGTAATTGACTCACAATAAAGTTGAATGTTGTGACATTCACTGTTTTTTTTTAATACATTTTCGGCAATTTCTAATTTTTTTGTTTTCGTCAATTTCGATTTATCCAATTTTTTTTATATCTGCCTGCTGTCCGCTTATACTAGACCGCCAGCTTGTACACCCTCCTTGTCTCCATACTTAAATGAGCAGTTCTTATGCTGACTGGTTTTAAGAGGCAACAGTCTGGATTTCTTTATGGTTATATTGCAAATTTATGACAGTCGAAGAATATGATAAGTCTGTTAGTGATGTTATGATATGAATAATAAATGTTACAAATAGAATGTTTGTTATTATTAGATCCAAGTGTGTTATTAATTTCAAAATCATCGATATAAATTATGCNCATGTTTGCCCTCATTTTAAAGGATTTTTCACGACGATTACAAATATGTCAATATTGACGTTGACATTCTTAACCGGAAGTTGACCATAACTTCATTAATATTGAAGATAAATCTGTCGTGTTTGTACTCGTTTTAAAGGATTTTTAATGAAGATTACAAATATGTCAAAATTGAGGTTGACATTTTACACTGCTAAGAAAAAACTTTCAGGTGTTAATGTCAACTTTAATTTTATTATTATATTCGCAATCTTTATAAAATAACCTTTAAAACGAGTCCAAACATGACGCACTTATCTCAAAAAACAAAAAAGTTAGAATAAAAAACATTAAACCCGAAGTTAGCAACTTAGTAATTTAATTTTTAAATATTAATACCAACCTTAATTTCTGAATTTTTTGTATTATATTTTTGATTTTGTGACAAATTTTAAGACATTTTATAAAATTAAGAATATATCAAAATGACATTGACATTTCAAACCGGAACTTGCTTATGTTTGGGCTCATTTTAAAGGATTTTTCACGACGATTACAAATATGTCAAAATTGACGTTGATATTCTTAACCGGAAGTTGACTTCATTATAACTTCATTAATATTGAAGATAAATATGTCGTGTTTATACTCACTTTAAAAATTTTTTAATGAGGATTACAAATATGTCAAAATTGACGTTGATATTCTTAACCGGAAGTTAGTTATCACATAATAGACCAATGGACAACTTCATGGTGTTCTTTCATGATGCATCCTTTATTAAAAAAAACCTTTAAAATGTGTCCAAACATGACGCATTTATCTCAAAAAACAAAAAAGAGAATATTAACCTTGAATGTTTTTACTTTTAGGTCTAGTATTAGTTCTAGTTTTACACTAGTACTATTACTAGAACTAACTCAAGATCTAGAACTAGAATAATTCGGGTTTAATCGTGCGTCTCTTAAGACGGCTAAACCCGAATGATTCTAGTTCTAGGGCTAGTGTTAGTAGTAGTGACAGTGTTAATGATAATTTGGTGTCAGTTATTATTCAGTGCCAGGTTATTGCATATTTGTATTGAACAAAAACTAGAATAACACTAGTTTTTTTGTTACTCAGCGCTAGGTTATTGTATGTTTATGTTGAATTAACAATCGGATTTAGCCGTCTTAACACATCAAGGGCCGCTCACGAGTTTCCTCGTGCGCAACATGAGTGGGTCAAAAATGTGCGGTCCCAGGCGTATGTCTTACAAATTTCAAACACGAATGTTTCTAGGTCTAGTGTTAGTTCTAGTTTTAGCTCAATAACAACCTAGCCATAAGTATTGTTTGTGATACTTGGATTGGGTTGAATTTATTTTATTGTTTTTGCAGCGAATCGGCCGCCATAAGTATTGTTTGTGATACTTGGGTTGGGTTAGGTTGATAGCCGGTTCCCTCAAGTATTACAAGATTATTTCTTATAACCAGCTATAAATCCAACCCAACCCAAAAACAATACTTATGTCTGATGGCTGGTTATAAGAAATAATCTCGGCCGACTTCGAAGTATCTCCAACTATCTCCAAGTAATCTTCGAAGTCGACCGAGATTAAGCCATAGGTATTGTTTTTAGATACTTCGGACAGCGGTCGTCTTCGAAATCGGCCGCCATAACTATTCTTTCTTATACTTAGGTTGGGTTAGGTTGATAACTGGATATAAGAAATAATCTCGGCCGACTTCGAGATTATTTTTTATATCCAGCCATCAACCCAAGTATTATGAACAATATTTATGCTCCAAGTATCTCCAAGTAGTCATTAAAGTTGGCCGAGTTTATTTCTTATGTCCAGCCATAGGTATTGTTCGTGATACTTGGATTGGGTTGGGTTTGATAGCTGGATATAAGAAATAATTTCAGGCGTCTTTGAAGACGTCGGTCACCATAAATATTGTTCGTGACACTTGGGGCAGCCGACGTCTTCGAAATCGGCCGGGATTATTTCTTATATCCAATTATCAACCTAACCTAACCTAAGTATCACAAACAATAGTTATGGCGACCGATTTCGAAGACGTCCGCTGCCCGAAGTATCAAAAACTCGGCCGACTTCGAAGTCTCCTTGGAGATAGTTGGAGCGGCCGATGTCTTCGAAGTCGGCCGAGATTATTTCTTATAACCAGCCATCAGACATAAGTATTGTTTGTGATACTTGGGTTGGGTTGGATTTATAGCTGGTTGTAAGAAAGAATCTCGGCCACCTCAAGTATCACGAGATTATTTCTTATATCCAGCCATGAACCCAAGTATCATGAACAATATTTATGGTCCAAGTATCTCCAATTGTGTCCAAGTATAGTTGTAAATGTCGAATGTAGTGTCAAGTATAGTTGCGGGTTTAGTCATACATGAAGACGGCTAAACCCGAATATTTCTACTTCTAGGCCTAGTGATAGTTTTAGTTTTCGTTCAATAGAAATATACAGGGTTTCCCAAATCTCCCGGGACGGAGCTATAAGTTTTGAACGAGTGAAGAAAAAAGTTTGAAAATTTGGGGATCAGTAAAGAAGCATAAAAACTACATTTTTAGATAGTTTAGAACATCGATGCTAGTTAGATTTAAATTAGATTTTTAAATAGTGTTTCTAGTAGTAATGTTTCTAGTTCTCGGTCTAGTGTTAGTTCTAGTCAGTGGCGCCGACTTTTTAATATTTAAGGGGGGCCAGAACTTTTTCAAATACAATGTAATAAGTACACCTTATTACAATACAATTGTATTGTACAATACAAGCTCCGTGCTGCTGACTATGGGGGGGCTCGAGCCCCGCAGCCCCCCCGTAGTCGGCGCCACTGGTTCTAGTATTGTACTAGCACAAGAACTAACACAAGACCTAGAACTAGAATCATTCGGGTTTAACCGTCTTGAGTGACGTGCGGCTAAATCCGAATGTCTAGTGTCAGTTCTAGTATTCCACTATCACTAGAACTAGAACCATTTGGGTTTAGCCACACGTCTCTAAAGACGGCTAAATCCGAATGTTTCTAGTTCTAGGTCTAGTGTTAGTTCTAGTTTTAATTCAATAGAAATATAACAACCTGAATAGGGGAATTCCAACTAGTTTTTAATAATTTTGAACATCCTAGTGTTGTTAGAAACATTTTGTACAACATGAATTTGCTATGAACCAGATCTCAATCCTTTAAACATATACTAAATGATTAATAATCAATTTTTAATCATTTAGACAAACTTTTAATGATTACCAAACTGTGTTTTATTATTTAGCCAAGCCTGTAACGGTTACCAACTTATTTTCATCCATTTCGAACAACCTAGCATAGCTTGGAAGTAGTTTCCAATCATAGAGATATGTTTTCAATCATTTTTACAGTCTTTCATGGATTGCCAATTAGTTTTTAATCATTTTGAACAACCTGATATTGTTAGGAGCCACATCTCAATCATTTAGACAGTTTCCAAACACATTATGAGTATTTTGACAAGTTTCAATGATTATCACCCATTTTCAATCATTGTAATCAACCTGGTATAGCTAGGAACCATTTTTAATTATATACACAAGTTATTAGTGATAACCTGCTAGTTTTTAATCATTTA